ATCCATGTTTTCATTCAAATTCATTCTTCCATCCGGTATATTTGATCTGTTCTGGCGACAGTACAGCCGTGCGGGGATCAAAGATGGTGTCTGCGGCGCAAGCCGTGCGTTGACAAAACATAGCAGCGGGAAAACCTTGTTGGACGCTGTGCCGACATTTTTGTGACAACATATTTGGAAGAAGGCGGGATGTCTTTTCTTTTCTGTCTGCGTGTCGACTTCCTGCCGAAAAGAAAACAACGTGACGCCTCACCACATGCTGACGTGTTCTTTGGTTTTTTTTTTTTTTTTTGTTAAATTCTGTGCTACCGGATGACCAAATAGTCAGTATGAGCGGCGTACTATTCATGTAATCATAATACGGTGGAGTCCCGCATTCTCGCGATTTGCCACCTGTGGTGCATGAGCATTTGTTTGTTCATTTGTTGGCTTGTCCCCGAGTTACTGAGTTTGGTTTAAAACCTTAATCGGGAACCCAAAACACTATTTGAAATCCTACTTTGAAACCCAAACCCTGGATCAGCTCGGAAAGGTTAACTTTGTGAGTGTGTGCGCCACCTTGTGGTATGTTGGAGGGAGCGCATTTCAGAAACATCTACGCTGGAAACGGGACGGGCGTCGTCGTTATTCTCCGTCCTTCCGGATGTGGAAGTCGGCGAGGCGTCTCGGGTAGTCCTGCGGGGCGGAGAGGGCGCTGAAGCCGGCTCGGGCGGCGCTCCGGGGATCTCATTGGCTGTTGCCTCTCATCTCATCAGGGGCCGCTCGGCACATATGTGGTGTGCGCCGGATTCGGACTGCAACACAGCCCTGCGTCACCCTGAGGCTGAGCTGGCCCCCAAAAGAAAAAAAAAACAAAACAAAAAAAAATAATTCAAAAAGAGTAAGCAAAAATTGCAGTGGCCATTTGTTCACTGGGACAGCACGGCTCAGGTGGTAGTGCGGTCAGTCAAATGGCATTGCCAGTTTTCCCCTATCACCATTAAAAAAACCAAACAAATAAATAAATTGTCGATGGGGCGTCAGTGCAGTTTTCCAAACGTTATGCCTGTCAATCAATTGGTGAGTTGCGATTTTTGCAGACTGGGTGTGTCTATGGATGCCCGCATTGGGTTAACCCTGCCTTTGCATGGCCCCGCCCAACATTTAACACATTAACATGAAGAGTTTACCTGGGAACAATTTTACATTGTGAAAACTGGTGAAAAAGAAAAAAAAAAAAAGCATCAAAAAGTTTCTCCACAATAATGGATTCTTCCTACTTGTGATGCCAGACGCGAGCGGGGACGAAGATTGCGTGAAAAAAATTGGAGATTCTGCAAAGGAGGAAGCAGGAAAAAAAAATACACATTTTGGATTAACACGTCTCTTCATTGTCAAGGCTTCAAATTGTGCGCACACAAAAAAATGATTGAAATGCTCAATTGGAGTTTTTTTTCTCTCCAGCTCAAACAATGTCAAAAAAGGTTTTCATTGCTGAGAAAGTGAAATGGAGTTCATTTCAAACATTCCTTGACAGAAGCTACTTTTCATGTAAAATCTCTCAATCTCTGAGTTGATGGCAGATTTTATCGCCCTAAATGAATCGAGGGGCCATAAATCACATTCCCTTTTGACCCGGTTCTTAAATCCATCGGTTTTATACATGTACGTTTTTATTGAAATGCATATTTATCACAATGTTGTTTTCCTTTGCATTCTTAGAGGCCTGTGTAAGTCCTGCACCTTTTCGACCCAAAACTATCATAATAATAATAATAATACATTTTATTTATAAGCGCCTTTCAAGACACCCATGCACTAGGCGTGACAAAAAAGTCGACGTAAAAGTTCATAAGAGATCCGAAGCCTGTGTTCATATTTGTAGGACATCTCGGAAACTCAAAGGTGTTTCTTTCCGGTATATTGTGCGCATATGCTGAAATGACAGATTTCGTCAGATGGCAAATGTGCGTTTCGGAAGATGATGAAGCGGTTGCGTCGTGTTATTTCCATCCGCAGCAAACTTCACACAGCTCGAGTCCTGTAATTGGAGCGCGGCGCCGCCACTGAATGTCACTAAATGTCAGCGGCCTATGAATAGACTTTCATTAGCACGTCCATCTGAGACACGACCGCGGCATCGCTCCGACGCAAAACGTTCACAAAATCTAGTATGCTTGACGCCGTGAGATCCTCGCGCCGGCGTCTCACTCCGCAAACGAGAAAAGTCTGCCATGGTACACCGGAAGTTGTATGGCGAATGGCGAGTCCCACACGACACGCGGCAATTCTCAAATGACACCAAGGAAGTTGTTCATTGCAAACGGGAAGTCTCCCGTGCCACACAGGAAGTCTCACGCAAAGTCTCACGTGACACAGAGGAAGCTCCGCATGGCGAAGCGTAAGTCGGCCAAATTTTGCTGAGGATTTTAGGAAGATGGTTATCGTCTGTCATTGTGTCGAAACAATGATCAGCTTGTCAGCTGGAGGCTGGATGAAAAATATTCTTTCGTCTGTAATAAAAAGAGGAAAAGTTGTCGGTGACTGCTGACAAGATGAAAACGGACAGCTCCTCTGGAGATTCTTCCTGATGACTCGCTGGAACAGACGGTCCCACAATCTTTGCAATCAATCAATCAATCAATCAATCAATCAATCAATCAATCAATTCATCTGCCCATCCATCAAGAAAATCCTCAGCTGTCTGCCTTCCGACGCTCAAACCTGCAAAAGATTTGTGACCGCGATTGATTGAGTCAGAGTAGAGAGAGAAGGCATTGATTTGAACACCACGATAACGCTCGACTTTACCTGGGGCCGGTGTTGCCATGGAAACAGCAGCGCAGCAAAGCCAGAAGAGACCCCAACTTGTTCAGAGAGCCGCTCCTGCGACAGCGAGGTCCACGCATACCGGTAAGCCGGCCCATTCCCGGGGCCGATTCCGCCGCCGTGCGAGTCAACAAAGACTCGATCCGATTTCGCCCAAGTGAGAATCCCGTCGGGAGACGCCTGAGGGGGATTTTTCAGACGTGTTAAACCTGTTCACTCTTGACGCTGGGATTCGGTGGTGGACTGCCATTGCTGCCATGACTATGGAAAAGAAATCAAAAAATTAATACAATTCTTAACTCACAGGAGAAGTGATCAGGAACATCTTTGGAGACCGCCGATGATCAGGCCGACCTCGTTTATGTTCGGGGGCTTGGCTGCGTGCCCGGAAATGAAACAGGGGGGTCACAAGACCACTTTGCCACATGTCAACGTACACCAGAGGGGTTGCCGGTTCTCTCTTTTTGTGTACGTGTGTCTCTCTCTCTCTCTCCCTCTGTATGTACGTATGTGTGTGTGTGTGTGTGTGTGTATGTGAGTGATTCAGATTTTTATTTTTTTTTAAATCTTATGAACTCTCAAAAATAGTTTTAGAACGACACGTTTCTGGAAGGTGGCAGCTCGCAACTTCACAGCCTCGCACCGCAGCATATGTGCTTGACCAATCAATCAATTCATCTGCCCATCCATCAAGAAAATCCTCAGCTGTCTGCCTTCCGACGCTCAAACCTGCAAAAGATTTGTGACCGCGATTGATTGAGTCAGAGTAGAGAGAGAAGGCATTGATTTGAACACCACGATAACGCTCGACTTTACCTGGGGCCGGTGTTGCCATGGAAACAGCAGCGCAGCAAAGCCAGAAGAGACCCCAACTTGTTCAGAGAGCCGCTCCTGCGACAGCGAGGTCCACGCATACCGGTAAGCCGGCCCATTCCCGGGGCCGATTCCGCCGCCGTGCGAGTCAACAAAGACTCGATCCGATTTCGCCCAAGTGAGAATCCCGTCGGGAGACGCCTGAGGGGGATTTTTCAGACGTGTTAAACCTGTTCACTCTTGACGCTGGGATTCGGTGGTGGACTGCCATTGCTGCCATGACTATGGAAAAGAAATCAAAAAATTAATACAATTCTTAACTCACAGGAGAAGTGATCAGGAACATCTTTGGAGACCGCCGATGATCAGGCCGACCTCGTTTATGTTCGGGGGCTTGGCTGCGTGCCCGGAAATGAAACAGGGGGGTCACAAGACCACTTTGCCACATGTCAACGTACACCAGAGGGGTTGCCGGTTCTCTCTTTTTGTGTACGTGTGTCTCTCTCTCTCTCTCCCTCTGTATGTACGTATGTGTGTGTGTGTGTGTGTGTGTATGTGAGTGATTCAGATTTTTATTTTTTTTTAAATCTTATGAACTCTCAAAAATAGTTTTAGAACGACACGTTTCTGGAAGGTGGCAGCTCGCAACTTCACAGCCTCGCACCGCAGCATATGTGCTTGACACGTACAACTGTGAGTGTGTACATCGAACTACTTCTCCAACTTGGAGTTGAAGCTCAACGCTCAGGGATAATCCGCCTCAAAGGACAAACAACATTTCTTACTCCTCAATTTTTGCAAGCGTGTTTGTCTAGCAACTCCAAAACTCTCAGTGGGACCACCTGGATTTTTAAAATTATTTTGTAAATAAACAAAAAAAAAAAGTTAAATCCAGCTTTTGTCATCTAAGCCGGCTAAAGTCAACCGTCTCCTTTTTTTCACGAGAACTTTGAAATGGTCATTCATACCTTGGTCACATCCCAGCTGGATGACTGTCATTTGCTTTACTTTGGAGACTGCCGATCCTCCATCAAACATCTCCAGTTGCTCCAGAATGCCGCCGCTCACCTCTTGACTGGGACTCGTAAGAGAGAGCACATCACTCCGACTCTGGCATCCCTTCACTGGTTCTTTTTTTCAAATCTTGAAATGACCTGTGCCCACTTTGCCTCTCTGAGCTCGTCCTTACATGCCCGGTGCCTCAGGTCAGCAGCCATTTTGAAGTCTGGGTCTTTGTTCGACGGGAGTTTTTTTGCCAAATTCCCTCAAAACCGAAGCAGGGTTGCAAGACAGGTCAAGATTTTTTTTTTTGCCTGTCAAGTCTCAAAGTGTGGGACAATTGTTTTCCACAGCACGGACGCAAAGAGTGCGCGTCGCGGTGAGGATACAACATAGAGACATTTATTTCTTGTTGCAACAGCCAAAGAGCCAGCCCACACGCTGACGCCGCTCAGCCAACCCACATCCATGGAAAAATCAGATGAGAAAACATTCAGAAAATGTGCTTCCTTCTCTCCCGCTGTGTCCTTGTCTCCTTTTTGTCCTTGTGCACGCCTTGGTGACCGCTGGCAACTTGAAAAAGAAACAAAACAAAAAAAACAACGGGGGCGCACGTGCGCGCACACTCTCGCGGGCATGTGTACGCACGCGCGCTGGCATTCACACGCACACGCGTACTGTGATTCTTGGCTGACAAGTCGTCATCGCCGTCGCCATCTTGGCGTCGGCCAGCAAAAGGCGCTCGTGACAGCGTTCGTCGTACAAAACGAAAGGGAGGAAGAAGAAGAAGAAGAAACAAACAAACAAAAAAAAAAGACGAACATCACTCCTGTCATTCTTCAACTTGGTCACTTTTTGAATTCGATATATTTAGATCCATATATCATATTTATATATATATATATATTCATATACTCTTTGTACAGTGAAAACCACCATGGAGCAACGGGCTATTTGGTATCTTTTTTGTCGTGTTTCGCAAATAAATGAAGTGATTTTTTTTTTTTCCCCCCTTCTTCTCGGCAGCCATTTTGTGTGCATCCAGAATGGCGTGATGATTTTTCTTTTATCCAACGAGAGCGTCTTTTGTAGTCTTTATTCATTGGTCCGGCTCTCTCAGTAATTGAGTGTGCGTGGCCTTAGAGGCTCCGCCCACGTGAAAGTTGAGGAGACAAACAGTTTCTCTTGCCCGCATCGCCACCGGGCCGCCGCCCTCCTCCTGCCGCCTGCGCGTCGAGGCCCAGAGGTTCTCGTGCGCCTCGCGCAGCAGCAGCCGCGCCGCTTCCCGCTCCCCGTCCTCTCGCCCCCGCCGACAAGGCGCCGTGGCACGATCGCCGGCGCCTTCCTGGCGGGGCGCGGCGCCGTTTGATGACATCATTGCGGTTTGCATACAGGAAACCTCGTCGTCGTGGCCAACCCGCACGAACGGGACGATGGGGACGGAGGCCGAGCGGCGGGTCGGGCTCCCCGGCCTGGGGGGGGCGCCGTCGGGTTGCGAGCGCATGTTGAGGGCAAATTGCATATTGACCGGGTCTTCGGGTCTGGGCTCGGGCCAGCGAGGCTCCTCCTGATGGATGCAACTTGACAGGAAACAAGAAAAGAAAGGAATTATCAGTTAAAGAAGGCGACGCCTTGAGAGAAGCCGTCAAGACCGAGTTGTGAAGAGCGAGGATTGAGCAGCTCGGACCGAGAAGCGACAAACACGATCAAGTGAGCCTTTGTGGTTCTCTATTCCGTTGATGTGCCAATTGCGAAAAATCGTGGCATGAGGGTTGAGCATTGGGGAGGCCATGTTTTCAGCTCTGGGGGTCATGTGACAGGAAATGAGTTAGGCTTTGTCTTCCTGCGATTGCCAGTTTCTGCATCTCGCCCCAACGTTTGCCCGATCTCGCCTTTTCCCGCCAATCGCGCGCGGGGCCGCCTCGTCTCGCAGGAAAACCTTGCGGGCCTTTATCATCTGCCGCGGCGGAGATTGCGAGGCGTCCCTGCGGAGATGACGCGCCTGATAAGGGAGGACGATGCGGGGAGGGAAAGGCTAATTCCTGAGATAACGTTGGCCGACAAATCCCGTCTGATGCCGGCGAAGGCAATCAGATGGAAAGCGCCTGTGAAGTTCGCACGCGCTGGACCAGGACGGGTGCGCCGCGCGGAGCGAGGAGAGGCGCCGCGCGGCCGGTGCCGCGTCGAGACGGAGAGGCGCCCGGGTCGAGTACACCCTGCCGCCCTTATCTCTCACACACACACACAAAAGCACTCAGCCAAACGCACACACAGACTGACAACCAGATCGTCATCCAGACCCACAAAAAGACACGTGCACCCAAGATACACACGCAGTCAAAAAAATGGATTGATACTTGATTAATCAATCCCTAAGGAGGAAATTCAAGGTGTCCGCAAGCCAAACGTCGACCCATACCCCGTTGAGCAACGTTCAACAATCAAATGACGCAAAGGATCAAAGAAAATAATCGGAATCTCGCCCTCCCGCAGAGCACGGAAAGAAATAAATGGGTCACTGCAGCTGCTTCTGTCCTCCCCACCGCCGACACATACTTCCTGACCTCTTTTGTCAAGACGCTTGCACTCCCCCCGTCTGTCGTGCCGTGGCCTGACTCAACAAAGCTCCTCCCCTTCACTTCAACATGGAGTTAAAAAGGGGTTCACGGTAAGTAACGTGGAGGTGCACTTTGGGAGCCTCCTCACCTGCGCGGCGCTTCAACCTCCCTCTCAGTAAGCTCCGCCTCTCGGAGGTGATGATAGGACAGATCGAAAGCCTTGGGGCGTCCTCTGGGAACGGTCGCGGTCCTGTGAGCGGCCGACCAGTGAACACTCCTCTGCTCCGTGCTGAGCCACAAAAATGGAACAATGCATTTTTGTTCACACGTGTGTGTGGGTGTGTGTGTGTGTGTGTGTGTGTGTGTGTGTGTGTGTGTGTGTGTGTGTGTGTGTGTGTGTGTGTGTGTGTGTACACACGTGAGCTTCGGAGTGCTTCTGGACAGCGGCTCGCACATATCATTGTGACGACATGCAGGAGGACGTTTGCAATACTGCTGCGAGAAAACATAAATAGTAAACAAGAAGAAGGAGACTCAGATGTTAAAGATCTTCATCATCATCATCATCTTCATCATCATCATGCAGAGCCTGAAGAAGATGATCAAGAGAATCCAAAGAAGAAGTTGGGGAGCAACCGGAAGAGGGAGAGGATGAACAACAAAAATAACAATGACGATGATGACGAGGAGGAAGAGGAGGAGGAAGAGGACCTGCTGCATTCTGATGTCGGCTTTGCCATTTCTGGTCTTGGAGTCCAGGACGCTGTTCACGTTTGTGGTGTAGTTTTTCACACTTCGACTTTCCTTCAGGTGAGCTTGAAGCTTCTCTCGCCGACGCCTACACACACACACACACACACACACACACACACACACACACACACACACACACACACACAAAATACCAACCAGACAAATATATTCATTGACATCCAGAACACATATACACACACACACACACACACACACACACACACAGCCAGCCAGGCAGACACCCACACAGGAGTACATGCACAGGTACAATATAACATGGTGGCGCTTCATTCCATTGACTGACTTGTTTCGGCAGTAGAGAACGACACAGAGCACTCCCAGGAGGCCGATCGCCATAGCGATGGACGTGATGGACAGCAGCTGTCTCTGGTACACTTCTTTGCTCTCTGCACATGGAAAATACAAACAAACAAACAACACCCACCCCCCAAAAAACAAAAAAACAAAACAGGGACACACACAGACAAGCACAAAAAAACCCCAACAACAATCATACATTACAACATTTTATAGGAAAAGAACACAACCAAGTGCCACGTAACAGTAGGGGACTATTACATGCTCAAATGTGGAGATACACGACATGTGCGTGTACACATGTTAAGAGTTGGATTTTGTGGAACTTGAGGGAGGTGGGAGCGTGGATTTGAAGGAACTGAAGGTAATCCGCGAGTCAACAGCGAGCATATGGTGATGGAAGAGTGCGCTTAGGGGGAGGAGCTAAATGGTGCAGACAAGTGGACCTAAGGTGGACCCCTGCGAGACACCCAGGCTTGCGATTCATGAAATGGATGAATTGTTAGCGATCGGTGAGCTATGATGTCAACCTGGAGTTTGTTTTGTAGCTTGATCAGCTACAGCACATTGGGCAAGATTCATTGCACGGTTATAATTGATGAATAATTCTGTTATAATGAATGAAGGGATCACATTACAGTATTGAAGATTTAAATATATTTTCTCAGATGAATCTTTTAATTTATTATTGAATGAGATGAATGGATAAAAATGAAGAAACTGATTTTAATTCTATTCATTTCATGACAATTAATGAAACACTAAAATTTATGGGTAAAGTATTTGCATTTAATAATAAAATAATTCCGAAGTTGCGATTAGAGAAAAAAAATACTGTATGTAAATTAGTTTGTTCATATAGTTTAGTAATATCAAATATCAACAAGTATTGAATGTGAATAATTATCATGAATTCAGTAATAATGAATGAATCAATTTATAGGTGTACCTTTTTTAATTTAATCTTTTCAATAAGGCAATTAACCAAGTATCAATGAGATAAAAGAATAAAAAAAAACATGGATTTTAATTTCAATTAAAATGATTTAAAACCAATTCAACGAAAACACACACACACTCACACACACTCACACACACGCACGCACGCACGCACACGCACACCACAAATGAGGATTGCGTGTGATGGCAGTTCTGCCCACCCGTCTCCTCCCTGTTGTGGCCGTTTCCATGGCGACTGCAGCCCATTCACATTGGATGGAAAATATCTGACTCAAACAGGCGCGCACGCACAAACACACATGCCCGCCCAAGAGGTGATCTTACCCATGAACTCGATGCCCAGGTGGTCTGCGGGTACGCACGAAAAGGAGAAAGGCAAGCAAGGGGGAAAAAGGGAAGAGAGAGAGAGAGAGAGAGAGAGAGAGAGAGAGAGAGAGAGAGAGAGAGAGAGAGAGAGAGAGAGAGAGGATGTTAGCATCAGCATTTAGCATTAGCAGTACTCATTTGGTGTTGTTGAATGACAACAATCTTTTCTGATGTCTCAAGACCACTTGTTTCGAGCAGAATCAAAGTTTTTGATTTTGAAGGTTTTTGTCCCCAACAGTTCCTGAAAGTCTTTTATTTCCATTTTTTTGCGTGACTGGAAACACGCTGGGCCTTCCGAACAAAATGATTCATTTTGGAAGCCTGTGTTTTATTGTGAAGGTCTGTCATTGCCAACATAGTTGGCCTGGCTCTTTTATTGTGAAAGTGTCCTTTCTGTTGTTTTGTGACTGAAGACAGTGCCTGCTCGAAACATATTTTATTTTGAAACGCTTCCTTCCTCACAATATTTGCAGCGCAGATTGAAAACGTTTTATTTTGAAAGACAGGTTTCTTTTGTTTTGCGAGTGAAGACAATTAGGTGTTGGAAGCCAGGTGTTTTATTTTGAAAGTCTTGTTTTGAGCAGAACATAGTATTCTGTTTAGAAAGTCTTTCCTACAAAGCACAGTCTTTTTTTTTTCCCCTCTCACAAAATCGCAGATTCAAAACAAAGTATTTTTATTTTGAAAGTCTCGTTCGCCTCGAGAAGACGAAATGCTTCTATTTATTTATTTTTCGGTCTTCTGGCAACAAAGACAGAGCTAATGACATTGTCAAGCAAATGTCATTCCTCAGGCGGCGCTAGCGCGGCCGCCCAACACGAGCAGTAAACAACGTGTCCGTTTTTCGGCCCAATGCCGCTCTTTCATCTTGCGTCCGACACGTTCATTTAGCCGGCGTCCGGCCGACCTTGACGGACGACCGCGTTGATCTCGGTGGGTTACAAACTCAATTTCCAAGTCGGCTATTCCGTAAAGCCGCCGGCGCTGAAGATGGCGGAGCATCCATCAGGAAGGGACAAGATGGATGCCGTGCGGACGCCCCTGTGCTCAAGATGGACGCCCCCGCTGGGGGACGGTCCGTACATACTTAAATAAACAGCGACACTACAAGAAGAAGAAGGAGAATGACCTCCGCCAAAGTCAAACAATTGTGCTCATCCTCAAGTTGAACGTGAAGGAAAAGTACTGAGAAGGAAGCGTCGAGTTATTTTGTCATTCTTTGCCACGCCGCTTTGAGCGCTTCTCTTCTCGATGTTCTTGTGTGTGTGTTTCTTCAGGTTTTTCTCTTTCTGCCATAGGCGGGTCGTCGAATTCCTCTTCCCTTCTTATCCCCTTTGCAGTTCTTCTTGCTTGCCTCTCTTCCTGTCGCTCGTCATTAATTGGAACGCCGTCTTCAAGTTGCTCTCGCCTTTGAGTGCATTCTTCTTCTTCGAGTTCTTTCCCTTTCTTGTGTGCCGTGTCTCTCTCTCTCTCTCTCTCTCTTGTGAGAAGAGAAAAAAAAAAGTGTGGCTGACAGCTGGAGCGCGAACAATCGTTCACGGGCTCTCAACGCGCGAAGTCGGCGAGATGCAAATGGAAAGGAGCTTGAAAACAAAACGCATTTTCAAAGCAAGTCTTTATACATCGTCACCGCCGCGCCGCGCCCCCCACGCGTCACTCCACGAGGTCGCGGCGCAGTCATTGCAAATCACAGGAAAGTGCTTTCAGGCGGCTTTCGTGTTGTTTTTAGCGGTCCGATTATCCAAGAACTCTGGCTCCACTCCAGGAGAAACATTTTGTGTGTTTTGGTGCATTTTGGGGGCCTTCCTTGAGTGCAGTCTTCATACGTGGCCGAAATGAGCAAGATGCCCTTCACTCATCGAGTACCAGATGCTTTCAAAGCACACGCGCTCATCTTGACAGCTGGCGTTGGCGCATTTGGAAACATCTTTCCAGAGCCAAGGTGATTGTGCTAAGCGGCGAAGAATGAGTGGACTCTCTTCTTGACCCAGAACAAAAATCTTTGCGTCTATCCTTTTAATCAGCGGGAAAGCTTCACCCAAAACAAGAGTTTCGGACAAAAAAAAGCAGACAAGATGAGCTTTTTGTCAACATGACAAGCACAACATTGGCTATCATGCAAATATTTTGGGACTTTTGTGACACATCAAACTATCAAGCCCAAAATCGAGCCTGAGAGAGACATTTTGATGGCGAAATCATAATTTCTTCACACATACCCGACAAATAAAACACACTGCGAGTCGTCAAGGTTCTGGGAACAAAGTTTGCGCTTTGGACAAACGACACGGTCGTTTGAAGGCTCGTAATTCACGCAACTTCTATGCTAGTTTCCATGAGTCTGCCGTATGTGTTTGACGTTCTAGGTGAGCAATTGGTTCGGAAGAAAAAAAAAATCCTGCTTTGTTGTTGGATGTAAAATGGGCTTTTTGTTTCTTGACATTTGCTGGAAGTGCCTCCAACAAATGGAGAAAAAGTCCCAAATGATGAATGAACAGTCGAGAAGAATAAATGGCTTGAGCGATTCAAATGTTTCCGCCGTTAGCGGCCGACGCTAACTTTTCAACGCTCGAGCGATTCTTTCTGCCCCGTGTATTTTTCTGGGAAACGTAAACGTCTGCCGAGTCAGCAGTTAAGCGCGTCGTCGTGGGCTCTCTTTGCAACTGCTCGGCCTCGTCCTCACTCACCCCAAATTACCCCCACAATTACTGCTATTCCGCCGAGACTGATGAACTGTTCTCGCACCTGATGGCATGTTGCTAAGTGTTAGCCGGACAGGAAGTGCAGGCGGGGAAGGTATTGGGTTGGGGGCGGGGGGTTGTTAGGGGCAGGTAAAGATGCATGTTAGGAGGTTACCAGGTGGAAAACCGACACGAGCGGATGCTGCACTGCAAAAAGTGGGCTGAAAAAAAACAAAAGGAAAAAAATAAAATGAGGATCGTGTCGCTTCATTTCAGCAAAATAGAAGAGGACAATTGGTAGCTCTTATTTATTATGTAAATAACAAACTAAGAATTAAAAAAAATGGAATGGTGAACATTCTAACTCCACAACAGCATGGAAATTATGTTCCAGACCACCCCCGCGAGAGATCAAATCCACAAAGTAGCCACATCGTATTCATGACATCATTTCGATATGTTGTTAAGACCGGTACAGTATATGCATGCGAGGTGCAGGTATTGTTTTTGACCACTTGGGGGCTGTCATCCCCACACTAGAAACCATGACATGACTGCGAATGTGAATGTCTTTAAAAGGACTTGCGGAAGTCAACACGTGACGACCTTCTCTAGTATTGGCTGTAGCATTAGCCGCTGCGGCGCACGGTGACGGTGTTTCTCAACGCTAGCAGCAAGTGCGCCGTGAACGCTGTGCAGTGTATGTCGTTATTGCTTTTTTCAAAAAGCCGTTGAAAGCGCAGCAGCTGCCGTTTCCATCCTTCCTCTATCCATAAACACATGTTATGGATTATCATTCTTCCGGGCTGGTTGCGATACATTCAATTAGGTTAGCATGTTGACTTTGCCGGCAGATGTGCAGTTGAGTAACTGTGCAGAGCAATAAAAAAAAAAAAAAAATGAAAGAAAGAAAGAACGAAGAGATACCCTGAATAAGGGATATAGCAAGGGATGGCTGTACTTGATCGCTCTCGGCGTTTGCGTGTGTTTTCAACAATTCCAGTCTCTAGAATGTTTTCAGGAACAAATCTCTCCATTCCTTTTTGACAGGGTCTTTCATTTTGGGCTAGCTTTTTTTGCCGTTTTGCAGTGCGCAGTGACACTAAATTCCAGTCACACCAAAAGTAAACTGGTATGTTTAGATGAGTTGCTAGCACAAGAGTCAGGTGGGGGAGGGTTGCTGGGCGGGAGTTGTGGTGGGGAAAGAGGAGGGTGGGGGGTGGAGACAGGGTGGGGGAAAGAAGAAGAGGAACACCGTTGCTCTTCTTCTCCAGTTTTGCACTTACCCACTTTTTGGGGAGGCGAAAAGCAGTCAAAGCAACAAACGTGAGGAGAGAAAAGCAAAGAAAGAATGAAAGACGGCTTTGCGTTGGCTCGCAAGTGGGCCGACGTTCAATGCGAGCGTGACAACATCAACTAGCATGGCGGGCACAACACTGCAGATCAGTCATGTTTAGAGACATGGAGGACTGTCACCTGGGATTTTTTTTTATCTTATTTTTTAGAATCCATCATTGTATTGATTAATCAAATAAAATTGTTTTGCATTCAAGCGAATTGCAAATCCATTTTCCCGATGCGGTTTATGAGCCAATTATTGCGGTGACCAAAAAACAAAACAAAAAAAAAAACAAAACAATGAAGCAAAAATAAAGCAATATCACACAAAAGGGTTTGATTGTGTACTCACGACCTTTACTCCATGACGAAAATAGTTGTCGAATGGATTCATTCTGACGCCTCTCGATGTAAGCGATCAATTCAATTTTGACATACTGGTTAGTATGTCAAAATTGAATCATCCGTAATCACTGGATTTTACTCAAGTCACAAAAGAATAATACGAGAGCAATCTTATCGATTGGGAAGTCAGATGACTCCCGCCGATGCATTTTGGGCCACTTTGTGATCCAAACAAAGACGTCGCTGCCATTGTGCGGTCGCGCAGCCGCTTATTTTCCGGATCATTCGAAGACGCTGCGGGCTGCCTTTTAAGTAAGACACTGACAACGCGCGAACGCATTATTGTGATTTTTGAGAGGGCGCCTAGCAACGGAGACGTCGTTGTTGAGGAGGCGGCAGAGGTGCTAATGACGCTAACCGGGACGCACCGATCAGGAACAACAAGGCCGGATCACAAGCGGAGCCTGCGCTTACTCGGTGCTGCCATGTAGCAAAACCGGGAACTTGTCCTGTCGGTGCAGGCACAGCACCGTCTAAAGAACCAACGGCTCACGGTGTTGTTTTTCTTCTTTGAGTCAGGCGCCGAGAACGACACGGGTCAGGCGCTGACTTTGGGCCGTGACATGCAATGTTGCTCTGGTCTCACGTGTAAGCGTCTTACTTGGATCGGACAGGATGGAGTCGGTCTTGGGCAGGAACTGATCGCAGCGGATGCCCTGGTAGCCTTCTCGACACCTGGCGGGGGGAGAGACGGAGGACAGACGTGACGTCAACGCCTCGACATTGACAACAACTGGCACATTCTTGAACGTGAAGGGCGGCGTGGGTGTGGATGAAGAGTCGGAGGTGGACGAGGAGACGAAGCGAGAGGGGGGAAAAAGGAAAGGAAACTCAGAGGAGGACGAGGGGAGAACATGAAGCCAAGGAAGAAGAGCGGGAAAAGGAGGATGACGGGGACAAAGGAAGGAGGAACGGAAGGAAGAAGAAAAGTACAAACGTGGAGGTGAAGTATGAAGGGGGAGCAGGAAGAGGTCCAAGGGAACACGGAGGAGGAGGAGGACGAAAAGGGGGGCGGGGAAGAAAACAGGAGGAAAAAAAATGAGCAGGAGAAAGATGAAAAGGAACCAATGCAAATCGGTGAGGAGGATTTGGTGGCAGAGGAGGTGCAGAAGAAGAATGGGGAGAAAGAGAAGGAGGAGGAAGAGAAAAGAGGAGCTCCCACACAACAAATATTTCCTTCTCCATGCCCTCCGCGCCTCCAGCACGACCACATTTCTGTAATAATCATCTTGCCTTTTCTCAACATTGTCACAAATGTACTTCAATGCACTTCAGGAATATGTCATTACATTTTTTTTGTTCTAACATCATCACCAATACAACACAAAACTAAACCTCCTCAAAAAATAATACAAAAAATTGTGATCGTGACAGTCACCGTAACTTGACGAGTGATTTGAATGTGGAATTCAGCCATTCATGTCAGGACCACTAGAGGGAGCTCGCTTTTCGAGAACGTGATGCGCTTTACGTTTCTCGAACTTTGGAGCGGTCAAATTGTTACGAGGCAGTTTTCGGCTGCGGCGTTGAACTGGCGGACTTGATGAATAAAACATGTTTGGCCAACGCGGGCGTCTGTCTCGCAAGGCTTTCAAGAGAGCAAAGGGATTCGTCAATTATTCACATGTGCTCACAAAATTCACGCCCCCCCCACCCCCCCCAAAAAAAAAAAACTTTTAGTATGTGCTGGCCTCAAACTTTCAGGTCATCAACATTGCCAGTTTTAATCTACAAAAAAAAAATTACGATTATTTTGAAAAACAAAAGTGTCCGTTTCAAAAGTACAAAATGAAAACGCAGTGAGGCTTTCAAATCGAAACCTCACTGCGTATTGACGTGTTATGCAAACATAATACGTCCAAGACATAATACTTTGAAGTAAAACAAATGAAAGAAAATAGCAATTATTGTGATTTTATTAAGCAAAATAATGCCCCCCCCCCCAAAACATCCTCAATTAGCATTAGCATTAGCATTAGCACTTTTAGGCCAATTCTCAATTGCCTGTGACATGCCGGCAAGCGGCTAAAAGTCTGCCTGAAAATATGCTGCTATGAATTATGAATGATAGCAGGGAAGACTTTTTAGTCTGCAAGTGGGTTAAAAAAAAAAAAAAAAGCAGCAGAGACAAGAAAAGATGGATCATCTGGTCATGTTTACAAATCCAGTGGCTAAATCAATGCTAAAGCCTTTTGGTTGATGTAAGCCAAAATACTTGATATTCCTAGTTTGCTAAAAACTCACGGTGTACTCTTTGAAGCTTGCACATTGTCCAGTGCCGTCGAGTTAATCCTAATGTCCTTGGATGGCTTGTTTAGAGTTCCTTTGTGTGATCCTTGGGTCCAGGTGAGGCCAGACGACGAATTTGACTGAGGGCGACGGCGGCTCATTTGAGGAAAACAGCAAAGCACATTTCATTCATTCAGTCATTTCTTCATTCATTCCATTTGCGTAAAAACAACCGTGGCACGTTTCATTCAGGATTTTGCGTCCCTTTCAAAATCTTTCTACTTTTCAAACGACAACCTTTCAATTCTGCTTTTTTGCCCCAACAAACGAACTTTCAAAGTCTTCGGTTGCGGCCTCCTCTTTCTTTTTTACCCCTTTTATGATGCCGGCTTGAAGATTTTATGCAAGTTGTTTTTCATAAAGACACCGCTTCATCAATCATCCATCAAGGTCGCATTTGACGTCCGCTGCGGGATTTCTTTCGGCCGAGCGTGCGCGCGTTTCGTACGACGGCTTTGACATTGAGTGAAACAAACGAACGCTCTTCCTGGCGCTTGGATGTCCTCTTTGGCCTCCGTTTGTTATTATTTTCACTCCCCTTCACGGCAAATTATTTGCAGCGTCTTCGGGGGCGGGGGGCTTTTTCCCTTTCATATTGTCTCATCTTCTTTCGCTTCGAAAGTCCCCGCGGGGCAATTAAAGGCGGCTGCCACCTCCGTGCCGTCTCCATGGCGATCGCCGTAATCGGCGTCCCTCGGCGCGGCCGCCGCCACACGCGCGTGCATGAAAAGTATGCGTGGGAGGGATCGGGGGGGACACGCGCGATTGCTGGCTAAGACACGGGTGGCCGACGTGCAGCTCCCCTCTCAATTTGTACCTCAAAAGTGATTAAAAATGGGAGGCCCACATCAACTTGGCAGTTGAGATTGGAGCACACAAGCGCTTTTCCAGGCCTGTCCAGATGGCACGTCGCCTAGTGGTTAGCACGTCGGGCTCGCAGCTAAAAGATTCCGGGTTGGAGTGTCCCGCCAATGTCCATTGACGTAATGTGGAATTCTGCTTCGGATTTTGGGGATCAAAGATGAAGAGTACAAAAGGTTTTGTGGGCTGCGGGTGTGGTGGCCAAACCTTTTCAAATGTTTCATTGGGTCATCTGACAGGCGCATTCGGGACTCAGAGCTGCTCAAGTCAAGTTAGAAAGGCATCCAGCTGAACAAAGACCTCCGCCAAGGCCAAAAGTGTCCACTCAAGCACACAAAAAATATGTAATGTTTTGGGGCGGGTCTCCTCCTGAAAGACATGGCTCGCAAATTTCATGTCGCAAAGTCAAACTGGTTTCGGTCAAACGAATATTCAAAGTATTAAAATGAAGGCCCGTTTTCCCTGCATGTAGACGATGGAATGCGTACGGGTGCCAACGTTCGTACGCGCCGCTCGGAGTTTCTGTGCTGAAAATCCCACAATTCAGTGCGGTGAGCCTCAAACATTTGTTTTTATTTTTAAATCTCATTACAAGAGCACGCATGCACTCACTGCACAAACTTCAAAGATGTAAACACGTGCTCCTGCTGCTGATGCTGTGTGTGTGTGTGTGTGTGTGTGTGTGTGTGTGTGCGTGTGTGTGTGTGTGTGTGTGTGTGTGTGAGTGTGTGTGTGTGTGAGTGTGTGTGTGCCAGTTTCCGTGTTCGTCAACATATAACTTTGTGTGTACAAGCCTATGCACCAATGTGTGTTTGTCAGCATGTGTGTTTGTCAGCATGTCGGTGTGTGTGTGTGTGTGTGTGTGTGTGTGTGTGTGTGTGTGTGTGTGTGTGTGTGTGTGTGTTATGTAACATCATATACAGAGCCAGGTCACACTCACGTGCTGCTTGGCAAACACGTTGAGGTGAGGCTTTATGTAACACACGCATGCACACACACACGCACGCGCACACACACACACACACACACACACACACACACACACACACACACACACACACA